GGTATATAATTTGATAAGCTTTGATTCATGTATTTACTTGAGAAACAACTAACCCAGTCAAGGTAACAGAGTTGTTTTGCTATTCTGGAACCACTTGTACCCCATCTTCCCCTCCATTTCTAGCTTGAGGACAGTAATGATCTGTGTTCTGTGTCTATAGATTACTTTGCCCTTTCTAGAGTTTTATATACAGATTTGTGCTTTCTTACTTTTTAAATGTTCTTTTTTATTGTAAAATTAGTGTACAGAGGGGTTACAATTACATGAGTAAGGTAATGAGTACATTTCCTATCCAGCATGGTTTCCTCCTTTGTTTTTCCCCTACCATCCCTTCCTTCCCCACCTACCCAACTCCCCCACCTTCCCCCCCAGGTTGTAAAATTCCTTTTCAACATAATGTCTTGTACATCTCATTGTTACAATGGGTCAATCTGTATCCTTGTTTCAGCATTTTGTTATTTCCCTTCCCCTCCCCAAATTAGAAACATGTATATACAAGACGCAGGGCACCTGCCATCAAATACAGTGAAAACAGTGGGGAAAGAACATACAAAAGAAACAAAAAAAATCATACAGTACATTTTAGATATGTTAAAAATAATAGCAAGAAAGAAAAAACAAGTTGTGTCCCTATCTTAGGGTTCATTTCACTTAATATCCTCTTTTTTTTGTATTTTTTATTGTATAAACGCGGTACAGAGGGGTTACAGTTACATGAGCAAGGTGATGAGTACATTTCCTATTGAGCATTGTTGCCTCCTCCTTTGTTTTTCCCCTACCATCCCTTCCCTCCCACCTCCATAACTACCCCCCTTCCCCCCATTTCATTTTCAACATAGTGTTTTGTACATCTCATTGTTACAATGGGTCAGCCTGTATCCTTATTTAAGCATTTTGTTTTTTCCCTTCCCCTCCCTGAATTAGAGAAATGTATATACAAGATTCAGGGCACCAGAGCTTATACAGTGGGGGAGGAACATAAAAAGAAGCAAAAAAAAAATCACATGGTATATTATAAATACATTAGAAACAATAGCAAAAAAGATATTGTGCCCCTATCTTGGGGTTCATTTTACTTAGCATCATCTGATATGGTTCTATGAACATAGCTTTTGACCTTTTCTGCTTGTCCTAGACTTATACTAGTTATTGCAAATTAGGGAAACCATGAGACCTATGTTTCTTTGGGCCTGGCTTACTTCACTTAATATAATTTTTTCCAATTAAGTCTTTAGCCCACTTATTTATCAGGCATTTGTTTCTTGGAGATTTACTGTTGGGGGATTTAGTTTCTTTTATTCAGCAAGATGATTTGGAGCTGTATTTACATTATTGTATATACCAGGAAATTACTTCCTTTTATTTATGGATTGTAATCCCTTGTGTGGATGTCCCACATTTTATTTATCCATTCACCTGTTGAATGATTGTCAGTTCGTTTGTAGTATTGGACTATTATAAATACATAAAACTCATATAAATATCTGTGTACAATCTTTGTGTGAACATATATTTTCATTTCTCTTGGGAGATACTTAGAAGTAGAATAGCTAGGTAGCATGATGAGCATCTACCTTTTAAAAAAACTGTCAAATGTTTAAAAAGTGGCTATAGGGGCTGGGAAGGTGGCTCAGTGGTAGAGTGCTTGCCTTGCATGCCTGAGTCCCTGGGTTCGATTCCTCAGCACCACATAAGCAAAAAGAAAAAAGCTGGAAGTGGCGCTGTGGCTCAAGTGGTAGAGCTCTAGCCTTGAGCTGAAGAGCTGAGGGACAGCGCCCAGGCCCAGAGTTCAGGCCCCATGACCGGACCCCCCCCAAAAAAAAATAAAAAAAATAAAAAGTGGCTATACATATTAACCTTGAGCCATGTATAAAATTTCCAGTTTTTCCAAATCCTCTTCTAACACATGGTAGTGGTAGTGGTGTTTTATTATGGAAAATCTAGATAGCATGTGCTGGTATGTGTTTATAGTTGTTTTAAATTAAAATTTACTTTGGCCGAGCACTGGTGGCTCACACCTGTAATCCTAGCTACTCAGGAGTCTGAGATCTGAGGATCACTGTTCAAAGCCAGCCCAGGCAGGAAAGTCTGTGAGACTCTTATGTCCAATTAACCGCCAGAAAACCAGAAGTGGTGTTATGGCTCAAAGTAGTAGAGTGCTAGCCTTGAGCTGAAGAGCTCAGGGACAGCACCCAAGCCCTGAGTTCAACCTCCATCACCAATTAGGGAAAAAAAATCAAATTAACTTTGGTTGTTTTTATGATTGGCACATACTGTTTGTAATTATTTGTGACATACACTGTCATGTTTTGATTGATGTATACACTGGGTGGGTAATAATCAACTCAGGGTAATGAGCATATCTATTACCTTTAATATTTTATTTCCTTCTGGCATTTATTTCAAAATCCTGGCTTCTAAATGTTTGAACATATGAACTGTGTTATTTTTTAACTATTCACCATACTGTTCCAGAGAGCACCAGAATTTGTTCTTTTTAACTGTGATATTTAAATTTTTCTTTTTTTAATCCCAAAAGATATTAGGTATCTTTTCATATAGTTGTCTCTTAAATACCTTTTCCATAAGTGTCTATTCAGTTATTTTGCCTGTTTTTTTGTTTGTTTGTTTGTTTTGGCAGCATTAGGCTTTGAACTGAGGATCTGATACTTGCTTGGCTTATTTGCTTGACTGATATTCTACTACTTGAGTCACTTCCCCTGCCCAGCTTTCTGCTGATTTTGAGCTCTTGTAGTTGTTTCTGCCTTGAGTGGCTTTGAAGTGTAGTCTTCTTGATCTCAGCCTTTTAAATTGCAATTACAGGTGTGAGAAATAAGAGCTTAGTTTCCTTTTTCCTCCTCTGGGTGTACAATTGTGAAACTGTCTCTTTTTTCTAATCCTAGGGCTTGAACTCTGGGCCTGGAGACTGTCTCTGAGCTCCTTTTACTCAAGTCTAGCTCTCTACCACAGTGCCACTTCAGATTTTCTGTGATTATTGGAGGTAAGAGTCCCACAGAGTTTTTTGCCCAGGCTAGCTTTGAACCAGGACTATCAGATTTCAGCCTCTTGAGTAGCTAGGATTACAGGCATGAGCCACTGGTGCTTTGTAAAACTTTCATTTTTTTAGCCCCTCCTTCATTTTCTCTGCTTTTCCTCCCTACCGACTCCCTTTCCCCCCAAGTTGTAAAGTTCATTTCCAACAGTATCTAGTGAATATCACTGTTACATTAGTTCTCCCTTTGTCCCACTGTTATAGTTCCCCTTCCCTTCCCCAAATCAAATAAAATTATATACAAGACAAAGGGTACCAAAACCAAAAACAGTCACCACAGGGAATAAAAGAGAGAGAAAAAAGGAAGAAAAAAAGAAATAACTGCAAACAGTACACAAAAACAAAACAAAGCCAAAATAAAACCCCCAAATCCTCTTATTTCCATACTTTGGAGTTCATTTGGATTGGCATCATTTTGTATGGTCATAGGTACATAGCTATTGAGCTGTCCTCTGCTATTGAGTGGTCTTCTGCTAGGATTGTCCTAGACATATATTAATTATTACAAATGAGGGAAACCCTAGAGCCTATGTTTGTTTGGGTCTGGATTACTTCACTTAATATGATTTTTTCCAAGTCTTTCCATTTCCTTATGAATGGGGCAATATCATTCTTTCTGATGGAAGCATAGAATTCCATTGTGTATATATACTACATTTTCTTGATCCATTCATCTACTAATTGGCATCTTGGTTGATTCCATATCTTAGCTATGGTAAATAATATTGCAGTGAACATAATAGTGCTGGTAGCTTTAGCGTGGCCTTTAGTGTGTCCTGGCCATTATGGTAAATGCCCAGGAGTCGGATTGCTGAGTTATAGAGGAGCTCTCTGTTTAGTCTTTTGAGGCCAAAAAGGAAACACTAGCTACTACACTGTTGGTGGGAATGTAAACTTGATCAACCACCCTGGAAAGCACTGTAGAGGTTCCTAGAAACTTTCATTTTTTTAAACAAAATTGTCTCCTCTCCACTGAATTGCTTTTATAAAAAATCAGTAGGTTTTAATTTGGGGTCTTTTTCTTTTCCTATCCTTTTGGAGGGTAGAAATAGTACCTGGTCTTGAACTGCAGGCCTCACATTTGCTTAGCTTACTTGTTTGGCTGGCACTCTATTACTTAAACCATACCTCCAGTCCTGCATTTTACTGTGTATTCTGGAGAAAGAGTCTTGTCAGCTTTTCTACCCAGTGGGCTTCAAACCGAGATCCTCTGGATCTTAGCCTCTTGAGAAACTAATATTAAAGGCAGGAGCCACTGGCACAAAACTTTTTTCTAGTCCTTTAGTTCTATCCAGTTGATCTCAGTGTGTACACTTTTGATTACTATATCTTTGTAATGAGACATAAAAGCAGATAGTATTTGTATTCCAACTGCTCTTTAAAGTCATTTGTCTATTGCAAGACTTGCACAGGTGGTACTTAAAGGGAATCAGAGGAGATGAAGAGTGATAGGGAAAGGCCAGGTAATATGAGATTATTTTTAGTCAGGCTACATCTTTTTTGTCCTGAAATTAGTAGCAATATACTGAGGAATTGTTTACAGAGGAATAGCATGGTTAATCAGTATCCTGGAAATCACTCTGGAGGATTAACTGTAGAATGGAGAGTCTAAACCGTTTTAACTCAACACTTCTAACAACATACCAACCAGTTTTCTAAACCTCTAGAAATCAACTGGGCTTTCTATAGAATTTCTAATGCTATATCTAGAATTAGCACAGACCCAGTAGGTCATGGGCTCAGTCTCACAAGACTATAGTCAATTCAAATGAAACTGAGGAACTGAAGTTTAACTTTTATATAACATTACTATGTTGCTAGTGATTCCTGTAGTTGATAGTGTCAAACTTAGAAGAAGGAATGGATTTAAGAAATAATAAGGAAGACCTACCCCTCTGGGCGGGGATGAGACACACTCCCAGTGGAGACAGGGGAGCCCTGCGGAGCCATGGTAGCAGTTGGGCTGACCATTGCTGTTGCAGGATTTGCAGGCTGTTATGTTTTACAAGCCACGAAGCATATGGAGCCTCAAGTAAAACAAGTTTTTCAAAGACTACCAAAATCTGCCTTCAGCCGTGACTATTACAGAGTGGATTTGAATCCAAAATGACAAAACGGGAAGCAGCATTAATACTAGGTGTAAGCCCTACTGCCAATAAAGGAAAGATAAGAGATACTCATCGAATTATGCTCTTAAATCACCCAGACAAAGGAGGATCTCCTTATGTAGCAGTCAAAATCAATGAAGCTAAAGATTTACTAGAAGGACAAGCTAAAAAAATGAAGCACATGTATGATTAATTTTAAGTTCATATAAATTTATGAGTTCCAACTTTTTTGTAATAAAATGCCTCAGATATAAAGTTTTTAAAAATGATTCAGCACAAACAAGCTAAATCAAAGTTTGGGAATATTTTATTTAGCTGGAGAACAGTAAGAAAATTAGAGTAGTTGGAGCTAATGTTAAATAATGACAGGTGTACACCACTTGAATACAGTTACTTATTTAGCAAACAAAAAAAGAAATAATAAGAACAACTGGAAAGGATTTCATTATTAAGGGAGGTTAGATTGAGTATTAGATAAAGAAAAGAAAAGTTAAATATCACACACAAATTTCTGTGTTGTAGTGAATAATTACATCATTATTACCAGTAGAGTACAAACTTAGTCAGGGTAGAGCCTTTTTTGTCTTACTCAGTGTCTAGAATGTTAGCAGGTAGTCAGTGAGTATTTGCCATAAGATGAATGGAAAAATGATCTAATGCAGGATTACTCAATACAATATAACAAAGAGGTAGTATGAGAAGAAATTCTTAATGAAAGTAGATGATGTTTGATGTTATTGACAACTTGTGTTCAGGAACTGTTCATGTATTTCTACCTGTATTGCATCATTTAATGTATACAATAGTCCTCTCTGATATATATATATGTATATTTCTCATTTTACAGGTAAAAACTGAAAATCAGAAAAGTTAAAACAACTAAACAAAGTGAAGTCTCTTGGTAGAAGTTTGAGGTGAGTTTGGGTCAAATTGTGGGAGAAGCCATTCACTCTAGCTTTAGGAGAAAGTCAATCTAGACTTCAGTTACAGATTTTTGAAATCACTAGTTAAAAGATGTTTACTGAAACTCATGAATGGAAGTGTTCGCCAGACATTATAGAATGACTATAAAAGCCCGTGTAAAAGAATCCTGGAGATGACATTGAAATATGAAGAACTTTTGCAGGAGGAAGCCCAGAAAAGTATCATGTCCCCTGATGCAAGGTAGAACAGTGGCTAAGGAAGGCTATGGAGTGGCCCATATTTCACTGATATAAAATATGATTTCAGAAATAAGGACTAAATATGATGTATAGGTTTCATGGACTTAGCAACTAAAAGTTACTAAAAGTTATGCAAAAGTACTTTCATGAGCAGATGTGGATAGGGTCAGATTAAAAGATATAAAGAAGCGGGGCTGGGAAGGTAGCTCAGTGGTAGAGCGCTTGCCTTGCATGCCTGAGGCCCTGGGTTCGATTCCTCAGCACCACATAAGCAAAAAATAGAAAAACCAGAAGTGGTGCTGTGGCTCAAGTGGTAGAGTGCTAGCCTTGAGCTGAAGACCTGAGGGACAGTGCCCAGGCCCAGAGTTCAGGACCCACGACCGGACCCCCCAAAAAAAAAAGATATAAAGAAGTGAAAAGAAGATGATTATAAACCAAAGAGGAGCTACCCAGAGGTGTCAATGTTGTTTTTAAAAGGAAAACACAGGCTAGAGGTATGGCTTAAATGGTAGAGCACCAGCTATGAGCAAGCAAGCTGAGTGAGCATGAGGTCCTGAGTTTAAGCCCTGGCACTGGCAAAAATAAAACACTGAAGCAACAATGATACCCATAAGACAGTATATTGGAAATGAACTTTACAACTTTGGTAGGGGTGGGGAGGAGTGAGAGAGGTAGGGGAGGGAAAAGATAGTGGGGGAACAACAAGGGAACGAGTAACAGTTCTCGACAAGAAATTTTCTCATTGCCTTACTCATGTAACTGTAACCCCTCTGTACAGCATCTTTACAATAACATAAAAATAATAATAAAAAAACCACACTGAAGGAAAATAGGCCAAGTGTACTAGCATACCCTTGTAACTCCATCTGCTTAAGAGTTAGACAGGAGGACACAGTTCAAGTCTAGCATGGGCAAATAAAAAAATGTTAGCAAGACTAGATCTTAAAAATATTCTGGAGCCGGGCACTGGTGTCTCATGCCTGTAATCCTAGCTACTCAGGAAGCTGATATCTGAGGATCACAGTCCAAAGCCAGCCTGGGCAGGAAAGTCCCTGAGACTCTTATCTCCAATAAACTGCTCAGAAAATGGGAAGTGGTGCAGTGGCTCAAGTGGTAAAGTGCTTGCCTTGAGCTGAAGAGCTCAGTGACTGTGCCCAGGCCCATAGTTCAAGCCCCACAGCTGACAAAAAAGTAACAATAAGAATCTGGGCATAGTACTGCATCCTTATAATACCAGCTACATGGGAGATGGAGATAGGATCCTAGTCTGAGGCCAGGTAGGCCAAGGAGCAAGACCCTATTAAAAACAAACATCAGCAAAAAGTGTTGGGCACATAGCTCAAGTGGTAGACTTGTTGCCTAGCAATTAGCACAAGATCTAGAGTTGAAACTCCAGTTCTGCCATAAAAAAGGAAATTATTTGAGCACAATTATGGGCAAAAAAAAGGCCTTTCAGGTGGGGCACATGGAAGGGGCAATGGAAGAGTTAGGACATGAAAATGGGAATACTGATGATGAGGTTGTTATCAATGGCATTGATACTCAAACTGTGGTCAACAAACCCATTACCAGCCCATGAATTAGGAGTTACTTGTCTGTGATGTGATAGATACTAAAATGGAAATTGAGACATTGCTAAAGCAGTATGATTTGATAACTACTTAATATAAATATTAAAAAATGTAGTTTGCATTTTGTACTTCTTCCTTCATCATAGTTGTTTTTCTTTCCTTTTTTGTACCAGACCTGATGCTTGAACTCAGATTTCAGCCTCCTGAGTAGCTGGGGTTACAGGTAAGACCCACTGGCCCACTGCTTTCTTTCCTTTTTTGAATTGCTTTATGTTAGTTATATCAGGGGAGTTCATTGTTACATCTCAACATATGTTTACCCTATATTCCAATCAATTTCACCCACTCTGTCACATTCTCTGCCCTTTCAGCCCTCAAAATATCATCCATGACAGGTTTCCTTGTTTTGTTTCATAGCTGCAAATAATCTGCTTCCAGATTATTCACTCTCTTTTGTCCTCCCACAAATACATTGTTGTTTTTCTAAGGATTCACTTTTATTGTATTTTACAGAATTATTGGCCTCTGCCGTTTGTATGCATTTTAAAGGTTCTTTGTCAGAGTTTTAGAAGTGTTGCTAGAGCATAGATGTCAAAGTGAAAATGCATAAAGATGCAGTCAACATGTTCAAGACTTTGATATTATAGCATCTGTGTTTGTAACAGCGAGATGGGGAAGGGAGAGGGAGATATCAAGCCTTATTCTTGTATAACGGGTAGAATGACTTTAGCATGTAACTTTGATCTAAGATCAATGGCTAATTAACAAACAGGAATTGGAAAGAATAGCTATTATACTAAAATGAAAAGTTGCATTTTCAGTGGGTCTTTATGATTCAGCATTCTTTGAAGTCCTGCAGTTCTTAGGGCATGTTTATATGGATTTGTGTATGGCCTAGTTTTATTTTTGTGATGCTGATGATTAAACCCAGGGCTTTGTGCATGCTAGGCAAATTATCTACCATTTATTCCTTGTCTTGACTAGTTTAACTCAACCTTACAAAATGGGAGAGAAGATAAAAAGATTCTTTCGAAGTGTTACAGAATGCTCAAATAGTCATCAAAATGTATAGATGAGTGAAAGTGGTAGGAAAGCCGATACAAACACACTGGGAGGCACAGTGACTATGCCAATGCACTGGTAAAGTTTGCCAAAACGGCATACAAAATACTACATGGCCGAAAAGTGTCTGTGACATAAACATATGTAGTCAATGTAATTAATGTCATATATATATATATATATATATATACATATTATGTGGAGAACATGGTTAATGTTTATGTTATTAAACTGGCTATTCATAATTGGCAGATAGTCAAAGAAAGACTAATTGGTAAGAAAGTGAAGAAAAATGTCCATAGTTTGTTTTTTTTTTTTAGAAAAGTTTAAATCATTTGATCCTATTCTATTACTTTATATACTTTTGGCTAACTTTATTGATATTTAGAAACTTACTTTGACATTCCTTGCAAAAATCTGTAAAAATCCTGTACAAGTGGAACAACAAGGATCCTACCTGCCCTTCAAGAAATGACTAAGAGGGCTGGGAAGGTGGCTCAGTGGTAGAGCGCTTGCCTTCCATGCCTGAGGCCCTAGGTTCGATTCCCAGCACCACATAAACAAAAAGAAAAAAGCCGGAAGTGGCACTGTGGCTCAAGTGGTAGAGTGCTAGCCTTGAGCTGAAGAGCTGAGGGACAGC